CTTCTCAAACTTAAAGAAGGAAACAGATATCCAGGTACAGGAAGCACAGGGTTCCAAAGAAGATGAACCCAAACAGACGTACACCAAGACATATTATAATTAAAATGGCAAATGTTAAAGAAAGGATTCTAAAGGCAGCAAGAGAAAAACAAGGTTAATTACAAGGGAACCCCCATAGGGCTATCAGCTGATTTTTCTACAGAAATGTTACAGGCCAGAAGAGAATGGCAAAATATATTCAAAGTCTTGAAAGGGAAAAGTCTGCAACCGAGAATACTCCACCCAGCAAGATTACCGTTTAAAATAGAAAGAGATAAGGAATTTCTTAGAAAAGCAAAAACTGAAAGAATACAGCAATACTAAACCTATCCTAAAAGAAATATTGAAAGGATTTCTCTAAATAGAAAAGAGGCAAGAAGCTATAGGAAAGAGGAAATCACAATAGGAAAGTAAATCACTTAAATGAGCCAGTATACAGATTAAAAAGAAAAAAAAATCTATTTGTGAAAGTGATGATAACCACAAGGAACAGCAAAAGGATGAACATGAAGCTGTAAAAGAGGACATCAAAATCACAAAATGTGGGGGAGGAGAGAAAGAAAATTTAGATTCTTTTTTTGGTTTTAATTTTATTTTAAAGAATGCATTTGAGCCTATATGACTACCAGTCTAAGGCAAAGTAGATGTAGGAAGGGGTTAACATACTTGAAAAACAGGGTAACCAAAACAAATCAAAAACATACAATAAAGTCACAAACACCAAAGGGAAGAGAACATAAGTATAATCCAAAAAAAAAAAAAAAAAATCAAATCACAAAAGGAAAAGCAAAAAAGAAAAAGGGACAAGGAAGAAATATAAAAACAACAGGAAAACAAGGTTTAAAATAGTAATAAATACATATCAATAATTACCTTAAATGTCAATGGACTAAATGATCCAATCAAAAGACATAAGAGTGGCAGATTGGATAAAAAAAACAAGAGCCTATAATATGCTGCCTACAAGAGAGTCACTTTAGGGCAAAGGACACACATAGATTGAAAGTAAGGGGATGGAGAAAGATATTTCACGCAAACATAAATGACAAGAAAGTAGGGGTCGCAATGCTCATATTAGACAAAATAGACTTTAAAACAAAGGCCATAAAGAAAGATAAGGACACTATAACATGATAAAAGTATCAATACAGGAAGAGGATTTTATACAACCAGTGGTATTCATCCCATGTTCACAAGTATGGTTCAACATATGCAAATCAATGTGATACACCACATCAACAAAAGACAAAAACCACACAATCATCTCAACAGATGCAGAAAAAACATTTGACAAAATTCTACATCCATTCATGATAAAAACTCCTATTAAAGTAGATATAGAAGGAACATATCTCAACATAATAAAAGCTATTTATGACAAACCCAGAGCCAATATAACACTCAACGGTGAAAAGGTGAAAGCCTTCCCACTAAAATCAATACAACATGATACAGATGCCCACTCTCACCACTTTTATTCAACATACTACTGAAGTCCTAGCCACAGCACTCAGGCAAGAAAAATAAATAAAAGGTATCCAAATTGGAAGGGAAGAGGTAAAACTGTCATTACATGCAGATGACATGATACTATATATAGAAAACCCTCAAGATTCCACACAAAAACTACTAGAACTGATAAACAAATTCAGCAAGGTAGCAGGATACGAGATTAACATACAGAAATCAGTTGCATTTCTTTACACTAACAATGAAATATCAGAAAGGGAATGTAAAAAAGAGACTACCTTTTATAATTGCACCAAAAAAAAAAAAAAGTACTTAGGAATAAACCTGGCTAAGAAGGCAAAAGACTTAAATGCTGAGAACTGTGAAACATTAATAAAGGAAACTAAAGGTGATTCAAAGAAATGGAAAGGTATCCCACGCTCTTGGATTGAAAGAATTAATATTGTTAAATGGCCATACTGCCCAAAACAATCTACAGATTTAATGAGATCCCTAACAAATTACCCATGACATTTTTCACAGAACTAGAATAATCCTAAAATTTGCATGGAACCATAAAAGACTCAGAATTGCCAAAGCAATCCTGAGGAAAAAGAACGAAGATGGAGGCATAACCCTCCCAGACCTCAGATAATACTACAAAGCTACAGTAATCACAGCAGCATGGTACTGGCACAAAAACAGACATACAGATACATGGGACAGAATAGCGAGCCCCAAAATAAACCCACACACCTATGGACAATTAATCTTAGACAAAGGAGGCAAGAATATACAATAGGAAAAAAGACAGTCTCTTCAGCAATGGGTGCTGGGAAAGCTGGACAGCCGCATGTAAATCAGTGAAGTTAGAACACACCCCGACACTATGCATAAAAATAGACTCAAATGGCTTAAAGACTTAAACATAAGACATGACACCATAAAACTCCTAGAAGAGATAATAAGCAAAACATTCTCTGACAGAAATTGTACCAATGTTTTCTTAGGTCAGTCTCCCAAGGCAATAGAAATAAAAACGAAAATAAACAAATGAGATCTAATGAAATTTACAAAGGAAACCATAAACAAAATGAAAAGACAACCTACGGAATGGAAGAAAATATTTGCAAACTATGTGACCGACAAGGGCTTAATTTCCAAAATATACAAACAGCTCATACAACTCAATAACAAAGAAACAACTCAATAGAAAAATGGCCAGAAGACCTAAATAGACATTCTTCAAAGACACACAGATAACCAATAGGCACATGAAAAGATGCTCAACATCACTAATTATTAGACAAATGCAAATCAAAACTACAATGAGGTACCAACTCACACCAGTCAGAATGGCCATCACTAAAAACTCTACAAATAACAAATGCTGGAGAGACTGTGGAGAAAAGGGAACTCTCCTACACTGTTGGTGGGAATGTAAGTTGGTGCAGCCACTATGGAAAACAGTATGAAGGTTCCTCAAAAAGCTAAAAACAGAATTACCATATGATCTAGCAATCCCACTCCTGGGCATATATCCAGACAAAACTATAATTCAAAAAGATACATGCACCCCTATGTTCATAGCAGCACTATTCACAATAGCCAAGACATGGAAACAATGTAAATGTCCATCAACAAATGAATGGATAAAGAAGATGTGGTACATATACACAATGGAATACTACTCAGCCATAAAAAAGAATGAAATAATGCCATTTGCAGCAACATGGATGGAACTATAGATTACCATACTAAGTGAAATAAGTCAGAAAGAGAAAGACAATATATCACTTATACATGGAATCTAAAATATGACACAAAGGAACATATCTACAAAACAGAAACAGACACACAGACATAGAGAACAGACTTGTGGTTGCAAAGGCGGAGGAGGGGCATGGGAGGGATGGACTGGGAGTTTGGGGTTAGCAGGTACAAACTATAACATATAGAAGGGATAAACGACAAGGTCCTACTGTATAGCACAGGGAACTGTATTCAATATTCTGAGCTAAGCCAAAATGGAAAAGAATATAATAAAGAATGTATATATATGTATAATTGAATCACTGTGCTGTACAACAGAAATTAGCACAGCATTGTAAATCAACTATACTTCAATTAAAAAAATTCACATACAGAGTGAAGTAAGAGAAAAACTAATACCATATGCTAACACATATATATGGAATCTAAAAAAAAAATGGTTCTGTTGAACCTAGGGGCAGGACAGGAATAAAGACACAGACGTAGAGAATGGACTTGAGGACATGGGGAAGGGGAAGGATAAGCTGGGACAAAGTGAGAGAGTGGCACGGACGTATATACGCTACCAAATGTAAAATAGTTAGCTAGTGGGAAGCAGCCACATAGCACAGGGAGATCAGCTTCATGCTTTGTGTCCACCTAGAGGGGTGGGAGGGAGACCAAGAAGGAGGAGATATGGGGATATATGTATATGTATAGTTGATTCACTCTGCTATACAGCAGAAACTAACACACCATTGTAAAGCAGTTATACTCCAATAAAAATGTTTTAAAAAAAAGGAAAAAATTAACAATTTTCTCTAAAATAAATAAAAGTTCAGCAAATAATTAATGTTACTATATTTTTAATCTTAAAAGGAAATCTTTAATTTCCAGTCTTTGGTAGTGGTATGAAGTTATCTAAATATGCTCAGTATTATTATATAACGAGAGTTTCATCTTTCTCTTATCATTTTGAAAATTCAATATGTATTACCTTGACACATAAAAATCTTTGAATGACTTGCTATTTTCATAGATAAAACTTTGTGTAGGTCTAATTGTCTTTATGGAAGTTTCTAGTAGAAGCAGCTGAGCCCACTATCAACCCACCAAGTATTACATGACTTTACCAATTTCAATAGATGCTAAGACTGATATAGTCTGACTATAAATCATTATCTAGCCAGTGGATAACTGAACGCATAGCTTAGACATTCATTATTAGAACAATAGGAAGTCCAGAGGAAAGACAGTTGATAAAAAAAACTTTCTGGTTCAGTGATTTATAGGCAAGAGAAGTCTCAATTCTGCAAAAGAATTTCCAGTTTTTAACTAATCCAGTCAGTTTTCCTAATCTTCCTGGTGACTAGAAACAGGTTAGGAGTGGAGTAGTAGAATGAAGATGAGGAGTTCTGTTTTTAACCACTGCCATTAAAAGCTTGGGAAAAAGATAAACCCCAAATCACCAAAGAACATTCTTTCCTTAAAATGTTTTCAAAATAAATATGTGACCAATCTTCAGAACAATGTACACCATGGATAAGTTAAAACTTTTAGGAATGGGGACAATTGGGATAACTTCTAAATACTGTATAATCAAGACCCAGGAGAAGTGACTTGTTTCCAGTTTCCTGGCAAAAGAAAATGTGGGACCACAGGGGCTGACATTTCGACATTTTATCTGAAACTGTGAAACAGAAACAACTGTGCAAAACGCATGACTCAAATGAGAAAAAACAAAAAACCCCACAAATGTATAACTCTAAAAATATGTGATCAATGTTTAATATTCTGAGGATTAAGTAACAAAATCGAAAAAATTTTTTTACTTGACTAGGTTGATTTCCTCTGAATTCTTCGAAGAGTTAAAAACAAACTATTACACTTATTGATTTAGAACCATCAGATTTTACTTCAGGAAAATCTAATACCTTTCAAAAGGTTATAATTTTAACATTAGCACAAAAAATTACTTCCTAACATTTCATTTGTAAAAAACTTTTCCGCAGCCAAAGATTCCTATTTTTGAATTACAGTACTGCAAGGCACATACAGAACTCACCTCCTTCAAAACACACAGAAGATATACTCCCTGAAATAGAATTTTTAAAATCCTCAAACAATTAGAAACACTACAAAGTTAGCAATTTTTAGGTAAAAATGTGGCTCCTACAGGATCATGCACCTTTCTTAAAATCAATTCAGCACATATGTATAAATAATCCTTTTTTAAAACATTTGTACTTGAAATGTAGATACAGTGATGCTGAAGACAGCACTGAACAAACCTGAAAAGTACTACAGCTCGATAAAAGTTTATGTTATTGCCTTCATGAGAGACTATATCATCTCTAGTATTCTCAAAGACTTGAATTTAATAATGGGGTAACTACACAGGAAATAAAAGATTTTCTTTCTTTCCTTACTAACAATATTTCCTTCACCTCTAACACCAATTCTTTTATAAAGGATGCTAAATGAAATCTATCTTTTGTTCAGTAGAACTGAGGACAGGACCATTTAATTGCCTCTACTAAATTTAATGCAGCTTAATTAGGGACCAGGTACATATTTGCCTCTGAAAATTTTTGGTCAAGCATGTCTAACCATAAAAGAAAATGGAATTTTAAGAGGTAGATTTTTTCCCAATGATGCATTTTGTTAATAAACGTTTTGTCAACAAAATGAAAACAAGCACTATGTTTTCTTGTATAACGGTCTAATGAAAAGAAAAATAAAAGATAGATATGATATTTGTTACAGTCTGACATTTAAACAGTCATAGTATTGGATGTTTTGTGACCAGTGCATTTTGGACTCTCTCAGCATCAAAATACGAGTCTGCCAACTGTATTAAACCCTCCTCCACCCCCACCACCAGTTGGTCCACAGCTTCCTGGTGGATCATTGTCGTCAAATCCATTGGGCCGAAATGAACAGGATGCAGATGCAGCTTGTAGGGCCCGGGCTCGAGCATTCAGCTCTTGTTCCTAAAATTAAAAATTGTTTTTATGAAATTAAAATTCTAAATACAGTGGATGGGTATCACCTACACAAATATTTTTAAATTGCCTTAATCCTTAATAAGCATCCTTCAAATCTCAGTAACTTTAAAAATACTGATTACACTAGTCTTTACCAAATCTTACTAAAGTCGAGTACCTAATCACAGATGAAGCGAACAAGGTAGAGAGCAAAATCCTAGTATAACTCTACAGAATGACAGATCCTAAAGGCCATTCTCTTTCAGTACCCTCCTTTACAGAAGATGAAACTGAAGCTCCACAGTCTTAAAATTTCTCTACAGAAATATCACAGTTGTTGCAACACTCATCACCGTATACAAGAATGGATTTCTTTTCTAATACACAGAACACAGGATTCAAAGGTTACACTTTCTGTCAAGTGGAGCTATTTTGGAAGTGGGTGATTACAGTAAAAGGTATAAATAATGAAAGAAGGCTGAATTTTTTTCCTACCCTTTCCTCAGAATATTTCTCAGTAAATAACAGCTCAAAAACACTGCTAAGGAAAAGGAGCCTGTCTCCTTACAGTATTACTTAAAACTTCCCCCTACCAGATTATTAGAACTTTTATAAGGAACCATATTCATCTATGTGCCTGACACATATTAAGTGCTCAGTAAATATTAATGATTTCAGACTAGAACACTATTAGGTACTTGGCCACGAAAGGAACAAATGTGAATAAGCACTTATTTATTTATTTATTTATAAAGAAACTGCAAATTCATTTGGCAAGGTGTAGAACTGGATTCTAAAACTGGCACAAACTCCTAGGAAGAAAATATTCTGATATATGTCCATGTTCCTGGGAAAGAGTCTATAACTTTCAAGTGAGGTCATCGGTGTCAACAAGGTCTAAAAGCCACTAGCAACAGCACAACCCTTAAATGGTTAGGTATAATCATCCTGAAGAACTTTCATAGTACAGTCAACGTTAATAACAAAAACTGTACTACTTTCAATTTTTCAACTAAAAGCCCAATTACTTTGCTCCTCCTGGCAAGGTAATTTTATTTTACAATTTCTAGCTAAATTTTCTTGATTGACTATTCTACCCCCTTCATGAGATGCCCAATTTTTATTATGGAGAAAAAAATCCCAGGCTTAACCTGACATCTGTCCCTCATATTACGGACACCCTGTTTCTCAGTAAGCATACAGCGACTGCTGTGTGATTCCCAATACACAAAATTATCAAGAACCACATATTTTTAGGGCTGAATGTGACCTAAGAAATCCTTATAGCAGAATGGCCTAATTAACCAGTCTCTGACAGGCCTTAGAAAGGCTTTTAAAACTTAATTTGCAGGATATTTCTCAAAAACATTTAATTAACTATCATTTACAACATTTATACCTGCTGGCTCCTCTGTATCATGTCCAACCACACAATATTTTTCAGGAGCTATAGTAATTTATTCTTCAATTTGTAAAATTAAAGTAAGAATTACATACATTTTACAGAGAGAAAATAAAAGCTGCAATGGATCTATCAGAAATAGACACAAAAATAAGAAACAAAAATCCTCTATTATGGCTCTATAATCTATTAAGCTATCTAAACAAGCAATGAAAATATGACTCTGGATCTAAGAAACAATATCTGGTTTAGGATACAGATCATCTTCCCCAATGAAATAAATAAAACTGAGTAAATATGCAAGGCAGAGTTCAAGAAGTTCTGCTCCCAAAAGATACGGCAAATTTTGCCTGGACTTTGTTAAAAAGTGACTTCTCACCAGAAACTGTGTTGAAGGACCTACAAAATACAAAACTTAGTAACTCCACTGCTTCTGAGACACCTGAAACCTATATTATATTTTAAGATAGAGAGCTTCCCAAGAAAGAAATATTCCATTTTTACTTTCTTAGCTATTTATATAAATACATGGCTTGAATCTAAAAAAAAGAAGAAAGAAAAAAGAAAAAAAAGGTTCTGAAGAACCTAGGGGCAGGATAGGAATAAAGATACAGACCTAGAGAATGGACTTGAGGACACGGGGAGGGGGAGGGGGAAGGGTAAGATGGGACGAAGTGAGAAAGTGGCATGGACAAATATACACTATCAAATGTAAAACAGATAGCTAGTGGGATGTAGCTGCATGGCCCAGGGAAATCAGCTCGGTGCTTTGTGACCACCTAGAGGGGTGGGATAGGGAGGGTGGGAGGGAGGGAGATGCAAGAGGGGGGAGATATGGGGATATATGTAAATGTATAGCCAATTCACTTCGTTATAAAGCAGAAACTAACACACCATTGTAAAGCAATTATACTCCAATAAAGATGTTAAATACATACATACATACATACATACATACATACATGGCTGAGGGAGAAAAATGTATGATATTCTGTTTTCAGAAGATAAGCTTAAACTATGGATAGAAGTAGGGGAAACTGCTTTTCATTTTATTTCTTTTAATACAGATGACAATATTAGGTAAATGTCACAAACTATGAATCTCAGTGCATATGTAATTTATATCCCAAATTTATATCAAGTATTAAAATTAATTCTTATTTCAGCAGTGGACTGTACATCTAGTGACAAAAAGGAGTTCCTGTTGCTTTGGGACAAAAACCTTTCAGTATACTTAGATCTCTCATTTAAATAAATCTGTAAACATTAAATTAATCCATCTTTTTTTTTCCTTTACACAGATATAATGTATACTCTTCTGTATGTGTGATGAAGAAAAAAATTACGACAAAGTCCCACCTTCTCCAAAGAAACAAAGGGAAGAAACCGAACACGAAAGGAGAGAACTGTCTGCAGCTGGTGTGGGACACATGAGGATAGGTGGTGCGACTCACACAGCTTTTCTCTCATTGGATCCTAACTGAAAGCATGATTTTGGTAGTCCAGACACTAAAATAATGGAGATACTCCTAATGGAAGTTGGGGAGAGAAATATATATGAAGAGATAAGCCTTTTCCAAAATTTACTTTAAGATCCACAATTCGCATTGCTCTCTTATGTGTCAGGCTATGATACAGAGTAGAAAATAGTTTGTCAGACAGGATTTTTTTGCCTAGCTTTTCACAACCACTAATCCTGCTAATACTATAGAAACAGCAAGAGTCTTTCTAAATCTAGTTGTGACTTTACTCAACTCCACACCCTTATTTTTACTAAGATCTGATTAAGTTTTTTACAACTGTTTTATAAATAGGTATAATGCTGTTTCTTAAAGCCAAAGTTGTATCCTAGACATAGCAATCTATTACACAGCATTATTACTATGAAATGGGCACAAACTTTTAACTATACCCCAGGAATGAATGTAAAAACAAAACTGAGAATAAGAGCAAAAACATACACATACAGGTTCCACTTGTTCAAAACTAAGAAATGATAGCTGAAAACGGCTGTATACAAAAATCTCAACATCACACATTCTCACTGCCTGGCAATTATGAGAACATGTTCATCAGTAGAACAGAAGAAACACTATAGTCTCCTAATACAAACTTAAGATGCCAGATGATTCAGTTACACAGTATGAGAAACATCACAATTCAAACCTTATCAATTAAAGTAAAGTCTAAATATATTTAAGTTTCTAATTAAGAGTTGAGTATGTTTTTGTAATTTGCTTTAAAAAAGCACTTTGATAATGAAGCTTTAATAGCCTAAGAGTCTTAATACAGGTAAATAAATAAATACCTTAATGTAAAATTTAGTGATATCTTTTTTGCAACAACTGGCCTGAGACTTAAAATGGAATTCAGAACAACTGCACAACACTGAAAAACTGAATTAACAAAGTACATAATGGTTTTCCTTTATAATGACATAAGGGTATTAAAATAATAATGAAAAGAATGGCTCATTACATACAACATTGTAAAATCAGGATGTAATGGGGTAAATGGCAAGATAGAGAAAATCATGTAGAGCCAGGTTGCAATACAAATAGTTGTTATGGTTAAAAGAGCTTTTGGCATTACAATTACACAAATTAGAGTAGTTTCTGCATATTTCCAAAAGTCAAGATTGCACTGGGCCTTATTTCCTTATTTTATACTGTAGAAAATTTCTATTTTAACCTAACCTTCTCACACTCCACCTCTCTGATCTTCAAGAATCATGAGTCCTATCTAAGTGCTTATTCAATATGTAGTGAGGAGGACATGTTTGAGTATACTCTATTACCTTGAACATAAGCCTTCTGACTGGATGTTAGAGTCTTTGGTAGTGAATAATGAATATTCTGAGTTTCTAATTTTTTTTTCTGTAAAATGTACTGTTTTTGTGTGACTCTGGAACATTGCCACACTCCTTTAAAAATGTATCATGTATCGTTATCTGAGTATTGTTTAATACAGTAAATTTGAAAACTTTTTGAGTAAACTTCCCTCTAAAAATCAGTACTATTTTTTCTCTTATTCTGTATCCTTTAGGAGTCTGTAATAAAAAACTTTTAGAAACTTACTTATTTAAACTCATACAATCATTTGGACTACCCAATTAATACACCTACAATTTTAACTACAATTTACTGTTGGTCCTTTATGTTGATAGCAAGTGGCAGGTTTCAAAGAAAAATGCTTTCAGCAAGGTCTTTATTAACTTTAAAGTAAGAAAAAGCGCTAACTCTGTGCGAAAAGTATAAGTAAATTCAGCTCATGTGAAACCTTTACTCCACAGTTTTTATTTACTAATTGTTCTATTACTGCCATGATTCTACTGATCAAGTCCTTAAAGAATACAAATATCCTTTCTTTACATATTCTACCTTTTAGTGTCCTTTATTTCATCCACCTGACTGTCAATAAATAGTCCTTAAAATATTTATACAAAGGTCTAGAAGGAATAAATACAAATTTAGCAGTTGTTTCCCCTGGCAGGTGGGACTGAAGGGAAGAGGAAAATACTTCCATTTTATTAAGCTTCCTAAATTTCTGTATGGCATGATTTTATAATGATCACATCTTTTCTAATTAAAAACAAACAAGGTTACTCAACATAGTTTTGGAAGTTTTAGCCACAGCAATCAGAGAAGAAAAAGAAATAAAAGGAATCCAAATTGGAAAAGAAGTACTAAAACTGTCACTGTTTGCAGATGACATGATAATATATAGAGAGAATCCTAAAGATGCCACCAGAAAACTACTAAAGCTAATCAATGAATTTGGTAAAGTAGCAAGATACAAAAATAATGCACAGAAACCTCTTGCATTCCGATACACTAATGATGAAAAATCTGAAAGAGAAATTAAGGAAACACTCCCATTTACCATTGCAACAAAAAGAATAAAATACCTAGGAATAAACCTACCTAGGGAGACAAAAGACCTGTATGCAGAAAACTATAAGACACTGATAAAAGAAATTAAAGATGACACAAACAGATGGAGAGATATACCATGTTCTTGGATTGGAAGAATCAACACTGCGAAAACGACTATACTACCCAAACAATCTACCGATTCAATGCAATCCCTATCAAATTACCAATGGCATTTTTCACAGAACTAGAACAAAAAATTTCACAATTTGTATGGAAACACAAAAGACCCCGAATAGCCAAAGCAATCTTGAGAATGAAAAATGGAGCTGGAGGAATCAGGCTGCCTGACTTCAGACTATACTACAAAGCTACCATAATCAAGACAGTATGGTACTGGCACAAAAACAGAAATATAGATCAATGGAACAGGATAAGAAAGCCCAGAGATAAACCCACACACATATGGTCACCTTATCTTTGATAAAGGAGGTGAGAATATACAGTGGAGAAGAGACAGCCTCTTCAATAAGTGGTGCTGGGAAAACTGGACAGGTACATGTAAAAGTATGAAATTAGAACACTCCCTAACACCATACACAAAAATAAACTCAAAATGGATTAAAGACCTAAATGTAAGGTCAGACACTATCAAACTCTTAGAGGAAAACATAGGCAGAACACTATGACATAAATCACAGCAAGATCCTTTTTGACCCACCTCATACAGAAATGGAAATAAAAACAAAAATAAACAAATGGGACCTAATGAAACTTCAAAGCTTTTGCACAGCAAAGGAAACCATAAACAAGACCAAAAGACAACTCTCAGAATGGGAGAAAATATTTGCAAATGAAGCAACTGACAAAGGATTAATCTCCAAAATATACAAGCAGCTCATGCAGCTCAATATCAAAAAAACAACAACCCAATCCAAAAATGGGTAGAAGACCTAAATAGACATTTCTCCGAAGAAGATATACAGTCTGCCAAAAAACACATGAAAGAATGCTCAACATCATTAATCATTAGAGAAATGCAAATCAAAACTAGAATGAAATATCATCTCACATGGGTCAGAAGGGCCATCATCAAAAAACCTACAAACAATAAATGCTGGAGAGGGTGTGGAGAAAGGGGAACACTCTTGCACTGTTGGTGGGAATGTAAATTGATACAGCCACTATGGAGAACAGTATGGAGGTTCCTTAAAAAACTACAAATAGAACTACCATACGATCCAGCAATCCCACTATTGGGCATATACCCTGAGAAAACCATAATTCAAAAAGAGTCATGTACCAAAATGTTCATTGCAGCTCTATTTACAATAGCCAGGACATGGAAGCAACCTAAGTGTCCATCAACAAATGAATGGATAAAGAAGATGTGGCACATATATACAATGGAATATTACTCAGCCATAAAAAGAAACGAAACTGAGTTATTAGTAGTGAGGTGGATGGACCTAGAGTCTGTCATACAGAGTGAAGTAAGTCAGAAAGAGAAAAACAAATACTGTATGCTAACACATATATTTGGAATCTAAGAAAATAAAAAAAGGTCATGAAGAACCTAGGGGCAAGATGGGAATAAAGACACAGACCTACTAGAGAATGGACTTGAGGATATGGGGAGGGGGAAGGGTAAGCTGTGACAAAGTGAGAGAGTGTCATGGACATATATACACTACCAAACGTAAAATAGATAGCTAGTGGGAAGCAGCCGCATAGCACAGGGAGATCAGCTCAGTGCTTTGTGACCACCTAGAGGGGTGGGATAGGGAGGGTGGGAGGGAGGGAGACGCAAGAGGGAAGAGATATGGGAACATATGTATATGTATAACTGATTCACTTTGTTATAAAGCAGAAACTAACACACCATTGTAAAGCAATTATACTGCAATAAAGATGTTAAAAAAAAACAGAAAAAAAACAAACAAGTGCTTCTATACTGCATGTACTTGTGACTTTTCATTACTAATTTGTAACATTAGAAAGAAAATTTAGCTATATAGGTTGAACCCATTTCATATAAACCCAGATTCAAATTTCAAATCACCTCATTGTAAATTCCTTAAAAATGCAGAAGTTGGATTTCAAAATTAAGGCACTCATTTAACCACCTGTCAATTGTTTAAATATTTTCCACAAATGATGAAGCTTATATTTCCAACTTACCTGTAAATATAGTTTATTGTCTTTTGTTATAGCATCCATTAGTTCTTTCTGTAGAGGTGGGTCTCCATTTACCCAGAGTCCAGTGGTTGAATTATTCCCACTTAAACCATTAGTGCTGTTCTGTTTTTTATACAACAGCACATAAGCTGTGTCCTTGGGAAACCTACTCGTAATTTTCTGGACTGACTGAAATGAAGTAAACGTCACTCTGCTGTCATTAAATAAAAACCATTCTTTTGACATTTCCTTATTTTCCAAATCCTGTTCAATAACTGCACTGGGACTATCTCTCCCTAATAAATGACTCTGGGAGGAGGCTAATGTCAGAGTTTCGGGCTGGTGGCACATCTGGTATGAGGACTCTGTACCTGTGATGTTTCTGGCATAAGAATAGTAATGTCCGCTTTCAGAGGATACACCAGAGTGAACGACAACAGAACTCAATAGATAGGGCACCAATTTTGGGGAGCAAGCTTCTTCAGTCCCAGAAGGCTTTAATTTTTTAGCTAGATTCTCACTAATATCAGTGAAGTCAACATCTAAAGACCAACTTTCTGACAACGAAGAGAAAGAAGTAGTTCTTTTAACTGGCAACTCCAAAACCAGTGGCAGTGACACATTGTCTAGGATTTTTCTTCTCACATGATACTTCTGATCATATGAAAATCTTAGGAGAGTAAGAATAAGGTATTCAGGTTCCTCCGTGATTTGCATAGTTTTCTCGGCATTCTGCAGAGAGGCACAGTTTTCACAATAATATTGGTTGTCACCAGTAAGAATCTCTGGAGCCAAAAAATAATTTAGTAAGTCAGTTACTGAAGATGTGGTTTCACCTCCTGCTTTCTGAGGTACATCTTTATTAACAAGCATCTTGTTAGAGTCATTAGGGACAGAAGTGTCTTCACTACAGCGAAACTCATCAGGACTGTCCACCATTCTTTCATTCACAGCTGAGTAACAGGCAAAGGCAGCTGTTGATGGATTACAGACTCCTGGTTCTTTTGAAGGACCAGGTACACTGGCCTGCATTAGACCACCATCTTGTGTACTGGGTGATGATGCCGGTTCTTGAAAAGACAAGTTTTCCATAGAAGAGGAAGGACAAAAGGCAAGTGAAAGATCTGTAAAGGCTTCCACTTTTTGTGAGGTACTCCTGCAGTTCAAACAACATATGTGAGTTTGTAGTTTTCCTCCAAACATTTTTTCGATTAATGTCTTCTCACTATCACTTGTGCAAGGGGTCTCTGTTAGTACAGCTGCCTTATTGGCTACTTCTTGTAAAGAAGTTTCACTGCACCCCAGACTTTCAGAAAGCTTGTGTGAGGACTGAACTTTCAAGATCTTTTCTTCTTCATGGAGCCTGTAGAAGAGTATATCATTATATAGCTACTTTGCTTAAATTTAAATGTCATTTCTACTTTAAAATATTGGTTGCCTATATAAATAGCCAAATTATTCTTATCAAATATAATGCTTAACTAATAAAAAATCAAGTTTCTCCTCCTTTAATCAAGAGGAATATTGAACAGTTTGAGAAGGTAGATCAGAAGAGAAGTTAGGAACTGTTCCTACGCTATATTCTCATTACACTTTCGTCATACTGCTATTTTACAGCACTTATTATAGTTAATTATACATGTCCACTAACTGTCTTATATATCTTTGTTTGCCTAACACTTCACAGAAAGCCTGGCACAAAGAAACTACTCAACATATCCTTGCTGAATGGAAGGAAGGTTGAGTTCAACTAACTTTACTAGTCATTCACATAACAGAAGGGAGGCAAAGACAGGGAAATACAGGAAGATAATAGGTTTTATTAACTAAGTGGTAAGAAGACAATAAAATTTACCAAACCCACTGAATTATGAACTGGTTTAAAGAGCAGTTATTAATTTTTTTTGTCTCAGGATGCCTTTATACTCTTAAACAAAATTGAGGAACCTAAGAGCTTTCATTTATGTGGTTATACCTATTAATATTTACTGTATTCAAAAATTGAGAATAAAAGTAATATTACATTTAAAAACAATAATAAACTCATTACATGTTAATATAAATAACATTTTTTAAAATAAAAAAATAGTTATATTTTCTAAACCCCCCAAAACTTAGAAGAATGGCGCTGTTTTACATTTTGCCAATACTTCAAGTATCTGGCTTAATAGAAGACAGGCTGGATCCTCATATCTGCCCTGCATTCAGTCTATCGTGATATGTTGTTCTGGATGAAGTATATGAAGAAAATCTGGCCTCAACTACATATAAACATATGTGCAGTTCGAAAAGGGAAGAGCCCTGAAAGTGTTCTGGGAACCCCTAGGGGTCCTTGTACCACACTTTGAGAACAGCTGGTCTAAAGTAAGAAAATTTAAAAAAGAAACCAAATTGAAAACAAAAGAACACTTTAAAAAATACAATAAATGCAAGGTATTTTAGGGATTAACAGTTGAAATATGTCTTTAAAGGAAACGATGTTTTGTAGAAATAATCTGTTATGAAAGAACATAATTCAAATCATAGCTTTAGAAATACTTCTTACCTGTCTAGTAGAAACCTGAGGTATTCAGAACAGTCTTGTTGTGATCTGGGGGTAAACCATGGAGGTCTGGAAGCCTCAAAGAATATCCGAGGTGCATACGCTTCTCTCTTTTGACAGAGAAAACACAAGGGAGTGATTCTCACACCATGAACCAAATAACTGAAATCTTAATATATAATGCTTAATAAAGATTACTAAAATTACACTGGCTTAACCTTTACCACAAAGTGCCAAACATGAGGGCACATAAAATTAGTTAGAAATAAATTTAGGTAACTTTCAGTCATAACTTCTTATTCTGCAGATGAGAATTAAGATCTAGAGAAACTATGGGACTTGCCCAAGGTCAAATAGCTAAATTAATGGCAGAGGGGATTATATCAGAACCCAAGTCTCTTTAAATTAATATAATGCTCCTGGTATTACCCTCTATGTGCTTGAGTCCACAATTAAAAAAAAAAATCAAATCTGAAAAAAATGTTAGTGAATATATATCCTTGCTAAAGTAATAAGGGGCATACTCTACAGAGCCATGCGTACTTATTTTAGGTGAAAATTTCCTTGACTGGGTACACATGTCATAAATGTACAGAATATGAACACACTGGCTAGGGACTTTTCACTGGTTGCTGACTTTCTTTCTTTTTTTTAGTACAGAGGCAGTTTAGTGAAGTGGCTGCTAGTGGACTTCAGAGCAAGCTAGGTTGAAATCCTAGATTTTGCCATGACAAAAAAAAAAAGAACTGAAAAAGGCATCTGAAGAGTTGTGATTATAACTTGAAAATTTATAATTTATTTGTGGTATATGACAGAGTTCTCAGTTAAGGAAATTTTTTTATCAAAATAGGAGTGTTTATGGTTTTTTGAAGGAAAGGAATTTGGTGGACTGGTTGAACATGGGTTCCAGAATCATTTGGTTTACATTCCAATCTTGCTGTTTGTTTGCATGACCATGAAAGCAAGTAATGTAAGCCCCATTTCTTCACCTGTAAAATGGGTATGCTACCTTATTACCTCATAGATTGATTTTGAGGATTAAGAGATAATATATGTAAACCACTTAGCACAGGAGCTAGACAAATTTAAATGCTCAATAAATGTTAGTTTTATTAATTATAAGAAGAAAAGCCTTTTAAATTATATAGGGAAAATCTCCCTAAAACAATCCTTGTCAGGCTGCTATCAGATAGGGTCTCAACTATGACAGAACTTTAATTAGGTTCTCCTGTTAATTCCTTTTGTCTTTTATTGGGAGTTTGGAAGCCTCCTAAAAATTTTTTCCCAATAGCTCTGACTTAATAAGTTAATATAGTATATATAATGTATTAATATCTACATGTATACGCAGAGATACACACATACATATTATACAGCTGACCACTGAACAACATAGGGGTTGGGGTGCCTATCCTCTGCTTAGTCAAAAACTTTACAGTATACTGAAAAGTTATACTGTGTATCTGTTCATGTATCTGTGGTTCCGCATCTGCTGATTCAAACCACCATGGATTATGTAGTACTATAGTACATATTTATTGAAAAAAATCCGCGTGTAAGTGGACTCCTGCAGTTCAGACCTGTGATGTTCAAGGGCCGACTCTATACAGTATACAGTAAATACAGACTAGTGATAAAGCAAGTGCATAAATCCATTTACTAGAAAACAATGTTTGGGGGGAGTTGCAGGGAGGAGATTTCATCTCCCTTGGTCCTGAGATGTTAAATTTAATATATGAACATATTTCCCCCAGATAGAGAATAGTATAAATGATCCTTTGAGTATCTCATAGGCCATCACTAATCATCTCATATGTCAATCTTGTCTTGATTCTTTCCATTTAAGAAGTTATACCTGAGATATTTCTCAGCTTGTAGACAGGAAACAAACCATTCCTATCAACTCAATTCCACCGATTCCGAATCTATCTTCTCTTCTGGCTGTAACTACCTACTCCTTTAGACCTCTGTGAAACTAAGACAATCAGAGTATAACCAGAAAATAATATGTATTATTTATAAATGATATATATTATTCATATGTATTACTCCAAACTTAAAGTATAAGTTCCTCAAGCATAAGGATTCCTTTTTGAATGCTTATCAGACTGCATATTGTGTCTCTCAATAAATGTCTGTTTACTATGTGATGTTCTTGCCATTAGCATAAACTCATTTCCTTGGATTAATCTGTGGACATAAATGATTATCACAAAATTTTAAGCTCTAGAATAGGTAAACAGTTTATCCATTAGTTCTAGAGCTTAGAAGTAGTCATAATTAAAGGGTACATATGTTAGAAATGAGATAAAAAAGAAGCCAAGATGCCACAAAATTATTTTAATTGTTCATTACTGTGAAGATCTACCGATTAGTATCTATAAACTTAATATTAAAGATTCATTTTTAACGATTTCTTCATGAAGGAGCTTAACTTTTGGATAGAAAATCAGATATATAATAATCAGTATAATGAGTCAGTAAAATATTCATCTACAAGAATGTAAAGCAGAAGGGAGAAATAAAAACTTAGAGCATATCCTGATTTTAGGCAGTATCTTTTTAGATTTCTATGTGGATTTGTTGTGCTGGGAGGATATATATTATTTCATCAGTTAAAAAGGTTCACCAAGTTTGGTATAATGTGAAGTTTAAAGAACATTTTCAATGCAATTAACATATACACACTACACACACACTCACCTGTGTATGAGCCAAAAAGGCAAAAAGATGCTGTAATTTTTTCATTAATGAATTGCACCCATTTAGATTTAAAGATAATACTTGTCTTCTGAAACTGAAAGATAATAAAATATAATGATTTTTGTATACACGTATACACACGATGCATTTTTTTAAAAGCTAAAAGGAAGTTAGTTCAAGAACTTATTATCCTCAAAGTAAAATTTCACTTACCTGAAGGCCCTTTACCTGGCAAATTCACTGCCTACCATGTAGTGAAGAAGGAAGAGAATGACGGTAATTGAACTCTTACTACATGGCCTGGCAATGGCCACGTGCAGTCACATATTATTCCTATCTTCTGGATTAGCAAATAGAAATAGATTAAGCTATTAACTAATAACTTAAGTAAACAACTTTTGAATTCTTTCACATCTGCATGAAATAAAAAAATATGCCGTCATCAAAACTACTATGAAGTTAGAGTGATTTAAAGAGTGTGGTACTAGTGCCAGATGGGAAAAGAAGCTATACAAAAAACAGTATAGGAACAAATGGGTATCCATTTGGAAAAAAAATGGAATTAGATTAAGATTTCACATCATTACAGATGCCACAGAGGAGTAATGAGCTAAATGTAAAATACAAAAGTACTGAAGAAAAAAAAAAAAAGTACTGAAGTATTTAAAAGAAAAAAAAAGGTGGGGAAGGGGTATAGAGGGGAAGGCTTCCTAAAATTCAGACACTATAAATGATAAATAGATTTGACTACATAAAATAAAAAAATTGCAAACAAAACACTCCACAAATTTGAATCATACTGACTGGAAGAAAGCATGAAACAAAGGATTATCACCCATAGTATATATAAATCAGTATGAAAAAGAAAAGGACCCAACAGAAAGGTGCACAATGGAAAAAATAGGTTATTCAAAAAATAAACACAAATGAACAAAGAAAACTAGAGAAGGAAAAACTCTGTAATGGTCAGCAATACACATTTTCCTCCAGATTGGAAAAATTTTTAAAGACTGATTATATCAAGTACTGCTAAAGGCATGGGGTCATAGGTACAATCAAGTATTCATATGCAAGTTCAAATGCTATAGCCTTTCTGGAAGCAATTTGGCATACCCTATTCAAAGAATATCCTCTATAACTGCATATGGGCAGAAAGATATTAATTATAAGCAAAACAATCTAATATTCATCAGAGGAATATGATTAAATAAATCATGGTACACCTATTTACTCAGAATGACACAGTTCTGTCATTTGTACTAATGTGGGACTCTTTCCAACACAAATCATTAAAAGAAAAAAAACAAGTGGCTGGAGAAGAATATATAAATAGGATCCTTTATAAACACATTTTTAAAAAAACAATTCATTTGTTCTTGTACTAGATAAATCTTATCTCTGTACAAAAAATAGGTTTGGAACAATACAAGCAAAACTGTTAACAAATTACCCTTGGGGATGGGAATGTCTGATTTTTATTTTATGTACTTCTAGATTTATTTTTTTAAAACCACAAAGAATTTACATATTACCAAAGAAATAAAATATCCTGTCTGCTTATTCTGAGATAGTATTGGCCACTGTACAATAAGATGTGCTCTTTGAATTGTGGTTGCCAGTTATAACTGCTTTGGGTCTCTGCTTTCTCTATCATCTGTAAAATGAGACGGCTGGATTAGATGACCTCTGGTGGTGAGACATGGATTACTTTAGCTTTATGCCTAGTATCACTTGTGTCTAAGAGTATACATTTTCTTAAAAAAAAAAAAATCCCAAATACAAACAAACCGAAAGACAAAAGAAAACACTAGACCAAATGAAAAACACCTTAGTGTTGACAGTATATTCTGAGGCCAGGAAAGAAAATAAAGCTAAACTCTTTATCTTTCAGTTTATGATTCCTCTACGTAGGCATAAAAACTTACACGGGCTTAGAACTCAATTTGTAAACATCTTTGCTCAAGTCCCATGAATACTCTATTGGTACAGAAGAGAAAAATTCAACCATGCTTTTGCCTTCAGGAAAATTTATCATTATTTTGTACCTTTACAGATTGTATTCACATAGCTAACAACCTCTGATTTCCTATTTGCTTGGCTGCAAAAGAAAATGAATTTGAAAGTAAATCTGTAAGACGGCAAAGAAACATGTCTGTTTATACAGTTGTTCAGTATCTATCAACTTGGGGTGGGAAGCAGAGCTTGAATTTCCTTAACAGCAACAAAGGAGTTATTGATCTGATAAAACAGCAAAATATCTATAAGCAGAAAAAAATGACCACCTTAAAAGATACACAGGTTAAAAGAAACAGGATAATAACAAATTAGTACTTGAGGACCCTTAAATTCTGAAATAAGCTCAATCAATACCTCTGTTACATTAATAAATATCAACTTGGAGTAATTCAAAAGACTCTAAATGCAATATATAATATAAACATGAAGTAGAATTTATATAAGTTAACATTTTAGAAGTTCCTGAGCAGTAAAAGCAATTCATTTCTGAATAAGGTAATTATATGAAAATATGAATATTTCTGCCATATATAGGAAATAATGTGAAGATAGTCCCACCATTTACATTTCATCAACATGCAACAATTTCTACAGTTAAAATGAAAACAAACAAACAAAAAAGCTCAAATTTAAACTTACTCTGTGGCCATAAACAATGCTTGTATAACACTGTTCATATAACATGTATTCCCTAGATTAATAAGACCAGTTTTCCCAGTTTCAGATTTTCCAGAAAGTCTAGACAAGCAAGATGCCAAAGAATTGGATTGAGAAGTCCAGGCACTTTGACTGAGAATCAGTTTAATCTTCTCTTCACTGGGCTTAGGAAAATCCTGTAGATCATAAAGAGGAAAAGTAGTGTAAAAATATAAACTTTTTTTTATTAAGTTAACACCATAAACAAGATTCTTCCACTGACACTTAACCTTTGTTTTCTCCCACTTAGTTTGGAAATCACTGATAATACTTGAGCAGTCATCAAAAAATCAAATTACACTACATGGCAAAAATAATTGTCTCCTAAAATGAATAAGTATCTCCTAAGGTAGAGTTTATCAAGCTGAGGAATACTCAAGAACCAGGAATTGAAGTCACATTTGAATTATTTATATTTCCTATTTGCCAGCAAAATGTTTTCAAAATAAACCTCTGACATCAGAGAGTATATTGCAGTGCTATTCAAAGGCAGTAGAATAAGGACTTAAATTAGTACAGAATTGAATAAGCTTAACAAACAATTTGCTTTCAAATTTTGTAGTGAAAATAATATCTCCTTTTCATTCAATACTAATATTTACCCAGTACTGACCCTTAGAAATAAAAGCTCAAAGTAATCAGGGAATGAAAAACGAAAGCATCTAAGCACAATGACCTCTGACTTTAAGAAATAAAACTCAATCTCATGTTTAACCATATAGAAATATTATTACAGGATACAGTTTCTTCCCTGCTTTGTGACATATGAGATATAAGTGTAAGTGGTTTCAAGCATGAGTAGAGCACTGGAGAATAAGGAAAGTTGGTAAAATCATTCAGGCTTTTTTGGACTATTACCATCGAAGGTACTTAGAGCTCAGAAAACATTTTCTGAAGGAATTTTAATCTTTGGATTTGATTTTGCTGTTGTTGTTGTTGACAGCTAATGGAAAGTGCTTCCCTTGGTTTAAGAGGGAGATCCTTGATTCTTCCGAGCCTATTTCAGTTATCAGAATTTTCAACATTCAGCAGTGAAGAATGACATTTAACAACAGCAATAGCTTTCATCTATGGACACAGCGACACTGCAGAAAGAGATTAACATTACTATCAAATCCATGACAAAAACGAGTTTGCAGGGCAGAAATAGAGACACAGATGTAGAGAACAAACGTATGGACACCAAGAGGGGAAAGTGGCGGGGGGTGGTGGTGGTGGGATGAACTGGGAGACTGGGATTGGCATGTATACACTAATATGTATGAAATGGATAACTAATAAGAACCTGCTGTGTAAAAAAATAAAATTCTAAAGTTCAAAAAAAAAAGTAAAAAAAGAAAACAAAAAAACCCCAAAAAAACCCTTTTATACATAAAGACATTTACTTCTGAAGTGTCAAACTGTCATACCACTAGTACACAATAATTGCTGAACAGTCTTGTGTTCTGGGCTCAGTTTGATTTAGCTAACTCTAAAGTAAAAAGAGCATGCTCTGAATTCACTTCAGATACATAAGAAGTAAAGATAATGAGACCTTATATTTTATTTCAGATCTCAAAAACGAACACTGTTAATAGAAATGATTTGTAATAACTTCTGAATACACCTAGCTGAGGCAAGTTCTTCAATTCTTTTGCTCTACCCTGATCACGCAATAAATCTACTAAGAGGAAAGTGTGCTTATTGTGACCCATTTTTCAAGACAAACAGAATCAACGCTTTTTAGATCCAGTTATCTATACAAAGTTGAAAACCAGTAAGTTCACAAATAATTCAAGTAAAGATTCTATGAAATATGGACATTCATGAACAATGCATAGCAAAAATGAAATAAAAAACAGAAGAAACGTAAGTCAAATATTTTATTAAAGTGTCTTTCCTTGATTCTAAGACATATCTTACATATTTTAACGTTTCTGATATTGGGATGCAACTCTGATGTATGTATTAACTTAATGTAGCATTTTTTAAACCAAATCTCCCCCAAAGGTATTACTAATTTACAGGGACACCTTATCATTGTTGGCATTGTAGAACTGAAGAAATATGGTTATTAATTTAGATTAGTTATAGTAAATAAGAGATTACTCCCTAAAAATTAATGAAACTTGATTCCAATTACATATTTTATTACATATAAAAGGCATAGTTCCATAAAATAGTAAAATGAATAGCTGCTTATAGGAATGTTTCACCGCATTCATCTATCACATCATGGGCTGCAGCTCCGCAAATACTGGTGCAACTATTATCATACCTTTATTGCTTCCAGGATAGGTTCGTAGAGATCTGGAAATCCAGAATAATGATACATCATACAGTGTATCAGTTCTGTTAATTGCACTAGGAAGGTTGTACTGGAAGGCAGACCATCACTTTTGAAGGAGTGAACCAAATTAACTACATGAGGAACAATCTGAACAGAAAAGAAGACAAACATTCCTCTATTTATACAAATTGTCAACAAATCCTCTAGCCTACAAATGGAATGCAAATGTTACACGATCAGCAAATGCTTTTCTGTATGTTTAGTCACTGTCTTTTTCTAAAAAAGTTATGAAGCTAAACATTTCTAGAATATCAAGGTAAATCTAGGTTTAAATCACATATAATTGTAATTCCATATAAGACCCCTCTCCTCATTCTTAGACTCCATCTAAAACTAAGGTACAAACAAATTAAGGTACAAAATAGGAGCCTTAGTCACTGCCACCATTCTAAAAAATGGCTTAAGTTGAAAAATGTTAGGGCTATTATATTTACCAGATTGTTCAGTAGGGAGAAAGTTTTAAAAGATAAACCCAGAATTAGCTTAAGAGCTCCATCTAGTGTGAATTTTAGATTTTTCACTTGAAAGAATTATACAGGAGTGTGAACATTAAAGTCTACTTCAAAAAACCTTCAAGATAATTTATGCATGTAACTAAAATTACAGATCAGACTTCCCCAGTGGCGCAGTGGATAAGAATCCTCCTGACAATGCAGGGGACACAGGTTCAAGCCCTGGTCCAGGAAGATCCCACATGCTGCGGAGCAACTAAGCCCGTGTGCCACAACTACTGAGCCTGCTCTCTAGAGCCCATGAGCCACAACTACTGAAGCCCGCGTGCCTAGAGCCCGTGCTCTGCAACGAGAAGCCACCGCAATGAGAAGCCCGTGCACCACAACGAAGAGTAGCCCCCACTCGCCGCAACTAGAGAAAGCCCAGGCGCAAAGACCCAACACAGCCATAAATAAACAAATAAATAAAATTATAAATAAATAAATAAAAATAAAATTACAGCTCAGGCTACAGCAGTACCTCTCTTTAAGATAAGGGACTACCTCTATTTTACGGTCGGTGTCTTATGTAAGCATGGTTATCCTTGCTAACAATCCCTATGCCCCACCTCCGAAAAGAAGAGACAGTTCTAAAACTAAAGTGAATTAGAAATTTCTCTTATTTTTAAGGAATTGGGGTTAAAAATGAAGGCGAAATCTAAAATGCTCATTGCTCATAAATATGTAGAAAACTATTAATACTGATAATAAGCACAACAATGTCCTTTCATTATAAAATTACAATAAAAAGTCAATACAGAGCCAATCACATATTTAAGAGGTTATTAACAAAATAAAATAAATTCTATTATGCAGTAATGGCTCATTCCATTAGTACGGTGCTATACTTGTCTCAACTAATTATTACTTATAATCTGATACTACATATTTACAGTTCACATGTAAAAAGCATCTTACTCGTCTAACTCGTGATAAAAGTGAAGTTATAGCTCTATGGACTTATCATCAAACAGCAGTGACAACAATTATAGTTATATCCCAATCAACTCCCTTCCTTCCTGTAGAAAGAAAATCATATTCTTAAATTAACACTGCTATTCTCATTCTGCTGTCTCTGGTTTTACTCTTGTGCTTTGAGGTCTGAAATCACACTTTAGCTTTTGCACCACTTTCTTTAATCTTACCTCCAAAAAAGGTATTAATCTGACCATAAAACTACCAGTTCCTAATGGTTCACTCTACTGCTATCATCTCTACATTTCAAAGCAAATCTGAATTATAAGTTTGCTCCATAAAGCCATATCTATCAGATACTCTCTTGCTAAAATAGTCAGAAATCCAAATTATTGTTTCTTCAGAGGTGACAGGAGAGACAGAGATGGAAGGGAAGAGGAAAGAATTTTTAAAATGATTGTTTAATTTACAAATACCAAATCTTCTAAAAGCTAGCGTACAATCTTCCTAGTGTAGATTGGACCTCTGCAGTCAGATAATACACATAATTGTCTACTACTACATCCTATATCAAAATGATCACTGACGTGGAAATAACACTAAGTTCTTCACAAGCATATAGATAGACATCCAAGCAGGTTATTACCTTCTAAATATCTGAAAGTTGATTTTTTTTCTGAATGAGCAAATCTAAATATTTGCAGACATTATTGTGATACTCATTAAACTTAAGTTACTATTTGAGAAAATGTGTATAACTTATTTAATTAGAAGCTTTGATATTTTCTCTTTTGTTAAAAATTTTTTTTCCACTTATAAAAAGCATACGAAAAGCAACTTGGTCCATAATAACACACACTATAATTTCAATCTCAGTTTGCTCTAAAATATTCTAAATGTATAATACAATGAATAATGATGCTGGTGATTCCAGATTATTGTTCATTCTTAGCAACTCCTAAACCTGAGTCCTTCGCTGAGTTATTTAGAGTTATAGGTGATTTAACTACCACATGATCCACTACTAGATGCCCAAGTTAATTTTAGTTGAGTAGCAGGTCAGGATACACACAGAATGTAGAGAGTTAGTAGGTCTTTGTTTTTAGACTTTACTAGGCCAGATCACAATTTTCTACTTTAGATCTAACTGTTCTTTAAATAAATGATTTAATATTTACTTATTTCAGTAGCCAAATATTTCAAAGTCTACCATTTGCCATTTCAATTACTATTTTCAGGGGGAAAAAAAGCAATACAAGGTAAGGAGATATCCTCTATCTTTAAAAAAATTGAGCAAAGAAATAGGTTTAGAGTACAGCAAAAGTGACTTTTCAGAGAGATTAAGGAATGTATGGAGAGCAATAAATATTAGAATGGATGATTTCCTTCCCAGAAATTCTGAAAATAAACCTTTTCTCAAATGGCCTATACATGATCATGCCTGAAGACAGGGAAAAATGGTTGTTTTTTTTCCCTTGGAAGATTTTGCTAGTATAGCTGCTGTATTAGCTCAAGTGTGAGTTTTGTTTGTGTAATGGATATAAGGTTATTAACTGATGATCAAGCTCACCAATTAGGGCAATGAACTGCAGAAATCACTCACCCTAAGAGATAATGTATAATGTAATTACTTGTTAGTAAGGTTTACTTCTATTAAGCCTGAAGATTTTGGAAATGAGGCACCAAGTAGCCTATGTGAGTATATAATTCTCTGAGGCTAGTTACATTTCTAGCTGACAATCAACAACTGAAATTCTGCACTTTATCAGTCTCCTTTGAATTTGTTTGTGGTGGGTCAGTATTCCTAAGATTTTAACATTGTGGGTGTGTTGATAATGAGTTTCTAGTCCTGTAAAACTGAGGATCAGACCTTGGAGGAAGCACGTAACCACATACACCACTGCTTTCCTGTGATCCCCTAGATAGAAAAATGGACAGGTTCCTAAAATAACATTTTGTCATTTTTCACCTGCAATAACTGATAATCAAATAATCAAAATCAAATCAAATCAAAAGCAGTGATGTAGCTGGTTAAAAGTGGAAGGATTCTGGATATATTTTAAAGGTGGAATCAACAGAATTTGTAGGATATGGCCTGAAAGAGAATGAAAAGCCCTAATTCTGGGGCAACAAAACAAAGACTTATGGTTTCATGCTTCTGAAATTCTAAAGCAGTCAGTGGTTTTTTTTTTTTTTTTTTTGTGGTACGCAGGCGTCTCACTATTGTGGCCTCTCCCGTTGCAGAGCAAGGCTCCAGACGCACAGGCTCAGCGGCCATGGCTCACGGACCCAGCTGCTCCGTGGCATGTGGGATCTTCCCGGACCGGGGCACGAATGTGTCCCCTGCAGGCGGACTCTCAACCACTGCGCCACCAGGGAAGCCCTAGTCAGTGGTTTTAAACCATTTGTCTCCTACACTGTTCACCTGTGCAACACACAACCAACAGTGACACTGACATGTGACATCTCTCATGTACAAGAGTAACTTTTAACTTTCAATTGCTGGTTGTGATTGCAAGTGGAGCAATTTTGGTGAGACCCAAAACATTCTAAAAACATATTCTTTGGAAGGAAATCTCACAATCTCAATTTTAAAAGGAATCATAAAGCTACATGAAAATAGTTAGATTTAGGACCAACCTACAAGGTTTTCACAAATACAAATGTGACTCAATATTAAATTGAAATTTTAAAACAAGTCTTTTCAGTGTAGAAAGCTTGTGTCATAACTTACCAAATGGAATGCCTCTGGAGAATGCTGAAAACTAAGCAGCATGTGAGAAAGAACTGTGAGAGCACCGGGTCTCACAAGAGGAAACCAAAGCCGATTAAAAACCTGCAGAAAAGACAAGACATCCACTTTAAGAGTTGGTAGGGAAATAACTAATCCAATCAGTGATTATCTTCCTAGGGCCAAAAATTATTTGTGTAAATATCCCCTTTCCTGAGAAGTTCTGTCATAACATATGTTATTAAATTCTGGGAAAGGGAGAAAGTTGGGAAATAATATGACAGAGATCAAGAGAATAAAAGGACCTAACCAACTCTGAAAACTCCCTGATCAAATAAAAATCTGTCAAACCATGTTTACAAGGTGATATCTCCCTGGTCCTTTATTCATTCAATACATTCAGCAAATACTTATTGACCACCTACTGCCGCTTGGCACTATTCTAAGTACTGGAGATACAATGGTAGATTAAAAAAAAAAGAAATCTCTGATCTTACAGGGCTTACTGTCTAGAGGGTGAGTAGAGACAATACAAAGTAACATGGGAGAGAAATGCTATGAAAGCAGGGTATGTTGAAGAGGGAGTGCTGAGTGGCAAAAAGATCTGCGATTTTATATACGGAATTTAAAAAATGCATCGTGATAAAGGTGATACCTGACTTAAAAAAACTGAAAGGAATGAGAGTAAGTCTGACAGATAACTTGGAGAAGAGCGTAGGAAGCAGAGCAAAGGCCCTGAGGCCTCCACCCTGGTGGACTAGAGATATAACAACTAGGGCAGTGTAAGTAAAGCACAGAGACTGAGGCAATAATAGTGGGAGACGGGATGAGAGAAGTAGCAGTGGGCCAGATCAGGTAGGACCTTGTGTGACACCTGAAGAGGACCAAGGGCAGGAGCTGCAAGGCTACTGCAATCAATATAGCAAGGGGTGGGCTTCCCTGGTGGCGCAGTGGTTGAGAGTCCGCTTGCCGATGCAGGGGACGTGGGTTCGTGCCCCGGTCCGGGAAGATCCCACGTGCCGCGGAGCGGCTGGGCCCGTGAGTCATGGCCGCTGAGCCTGCGTGTCCGGAGCCTGTGCTCCGCAACGGGAGAGACCACAACAGTGAGAGGCCCGCGTACCGCAAAAAAAAAAAAAAAAAAAAAAAAAAAATCTATCTATCTATCTATCTATATATATCAAGGGGTGGGAGGGAAAAATCAGGGGTTAGATTGTGGATAAGTTGAACTTGAGATCCAACTGTCTAAGTTGGGTAAGTGAATATGGAGTTCATGGGAGAATAATGGACTTGAAATATAAACCTGGCAGTCGTTAACTTAGAGACATTATTTAAAGCCATGGGTCACTATAAGTATGGACTGAGAAGAAAGTGAACCAGAGATGTGATTCTAAGGCACTCCAAAGTTAGAAAGATCCACTACAGGAGACTGAGAAGCCAGTGAACTAGGACAAAAGTCAGGAGAGTAAAATGTCCTGGAAACTAGCAGGAAAGTGTTTCAAGAGGGAGTGATCAACTATGTCAAATGACTAACAGGTCAACGAGAGAAGGCTTGAGAAATAACTCCTGAGTTAAGCAACACTGGAAAGCACTGGTGTCAAAGATAGCTTTGGCAGAATAATGGTGGTAAAAGTTTGATTAGCTGGGATTCAAGAGATAACGGGAGGAATGTGTTTTCATAATAAATATTTGAAAACAGCAAAATTATTTTAATTACCTAATCTTAAGTAGCATTTTAAATTTCTAAAGCCCATTCAAAAGAAAACCAAAAACAAGACCACATTCAAAATTAGACACTTTAAAGGGGACAACCCAAAGATAAAAAGACTTATTATATGGGTCCATATATTCCAATAGATTTATACACTCCCACTTACCAGTTCTATCTTCAGTAAAGTAACATCTATCAAAATAGTAAACTTCTGGACAGCTGCCAGTCCTTTCAGGAGTGCAATCACCCATGTGTCTACATGCTGAGCCAACGGCCAGGAGAGCCAGTCAATCATTCTGAAAATTGAAGGAAAACAAAACTATCAGCATTGAAAATATCTTTAACATTACTCATTGAGGAATAACAGGAGTTATACTAGATAATCACTCACTTTGTGACTCAAACTGAGCTTGCTTGTGAAAAGTACTATTCAAGATGTAGAAATGACTATAATGGGTGCTAGAACTCAAGGAGTTTCCAATCTTGTAAGCTGACAGTTTCTTATATAACATATTTGCATAAAAATAATTTCTGATAAACAAGCATTTTGCATAAATGCAAAGTTTTAAACATGCTATATAGTGAGTGGTATCAATAATTTATTAGGCAAATTTACTCTAAGAAGAACAGTTAAAATATGGCTATCTGGGACTTTCCTGGTGGTACAGTGGTTAAGAATCCATCTTTCAATGCAGGGGACACTGGTTCAATCCCTGGTTAGGGAACTAAGATCCCACATGCCACGGGGCAACTAAGCCCGTGTGCTGCAACTACTGAGCCCACACGCCACAGCTACTGAGCCTGCACCACAACTAGAGAGAAGCCCGTGCACTGCAATGAAGAGCCCACGTGCCGCAACTAAGACCAGATGCAGCCAATAAATAAATAAATAAATATTAAAAAACCAAAAATATGGCTATCTGAACTGAGACATAAGGATACGAACCAAAATTTCTACTTTCTGGTGATTACAGTCTAAATATGAAATGCAGTGTTAAAAAAGACTATATTTTGAATTGTGAAACAGGTCTCTTCATCCCTTTCAAAATCTTACCATACAAAGACAACAAGAAGAAATTTCAAATAGATAAAAAGGGCACCAAATGTGTAAATACTGAAGTGGCCTCATTTTGTAATAATGAGTGTTTTTCTTTTTGAGTACCAATCCCGTTTAATGGAAATAAAGATAAAGTAATATGGGGTATGATGGAGACTATCCTTAATGTTACACATCAACCACAATGAAAAAGACTGCTATGACTCTTTTGGAAAGCAACTGGGCCAAATGTTCATATTATTTGATCCAGTAATCCAATTGGGAGGACTATATAATAAAAAAAATAGTAAAACAAACCAGGATTTTAAAGTCAGAATGATACAGTTTAAAAATCTCAATTCACCATTTATTAGCTGGGGAACCCTAAATACTTATGTAAGTTATTTAACTTCTTTGTGTCTCAGTTCCTTATCTGTAGATTACGGATAAATTTTACAGGACCGATGTGAAGGTTAAATGAGTTAATACACTGGAAATACTGTGAATGTCTTTCTTCCAAATATTTACACAGGTGGCAATAAATAAATACTTTGATTGTACAAAATGTAAAATATAAATACTAAGTACATAAACACGTGACCAAAAGAGCAACTAACATGTCAAAAGGACTGACTTTCATATGATATGTTATAAACTATCTATCAATACATTAACATTGGAGTGTTATCTTTATTAAGGTTTTTGCTCTTAAGATTAAAATGTTTCATCAGACATTAAGAGTGGCTCCAAAGTTCAAACTCATTTTACTACGAGTTATTTGTATGTTCCCTCTGCTCCCTGCACACATTTTATCTCCCTTCTTGTTTTTCTGGCCAACAATGATGGTTGTAAGTCATTAAAGTAGTCCCTAACAGCTGTTCCACGTCTCTCAACTATTGTTAGCCTGGTTTTCACAAGTCTGTGGCCACTCTAAGTACATGAAGTAGAAAGTAGAGATACTTGCATTTGTGTACAAAGAGTATATTCACTGCAGCACTGCTTATGATACAGAAAAAATGCAAATTATCTAAATGTCCATCATAAGGAAATGGCTAAATATACTATGGTATTGATACTATGAAACATTATGTTGAGTTTTAAAAGATGAGATAGATCAATATGAATCTACCAACAGGGATCTAACACAGAAAGATCTGAGATATTGTTGAATTAAAAAAGAAAAAAATGCCAGTAAATTTTTTTTTTTTTTGCGGTACGCGGGCCTCTCACTGCTGTGGCCTCTCTCATTGCGGAGCACAGGCTCCGGACGCACAGGCCCAGTGGCCATGGCTCATGGGCCCAGCCGCTCCGCGGCATGTGGGATCCTCCTGGACCGGGGCACGAACGCGTGTCCCCTGCATCGGCAGGCGGACTCTCAACCACTGCGCCACCAGGGAAGCCCGGTAAATCTTTTTAAAACTGTTTTTTGTTTGTTTAAAAGAAAACATATGAGTACATATTGTATATATATTTTTTAGCGTAAATACGTGCACAAAAAAACATGTGGTTTAGATAAGGAATATATGTGCGCACATCTCTTTGGCTGTATGGACTCCTCCCCATGGGGAGCAAAGTCCCAGAGTAGAACCAGGTTGGGCTCCCTAGCACACAGGGCCCAAGGCCAGAACTCCCTTTAGCTCAGGTCTAAGGGGGGTACTAGTAAAGAGTGAGGGGGCAGAGTAGAAAATTCCACTTGGCCATGGCTTTTCATTATCTCTAATCACCCAATCAGCCTTTTCCTCCATCCTCTCCATTTCTAGCTTCCCATCTCATAAGCCTCTAGTCTTTATCTTATCCCGTGTGTACCCAATCTCCTAACCACCCTAAAGATACTTCAAGTCAGAAGTAACACAAATTAGAAGCCACTCATTCAAAAAATATTTGAGTATCTATTATATAATAGGCACTGTGTTAAGTGCTAAGAATATAATAGTAAAATATGGTTTCTGCCCTCAAACTGATAAGGAAAGTTAGGAAATTCTCAACAGTCACACAATAAGTACTAGTACTGGTATCTGAACTAAGCTCTGCTGGCGTATAATGCAACACCTTTGGCTACACTTTAATTATATTCTAGTCTTGCTTCAATTTGATTGGACTTACGTATGCTCAAATCCTCTCAGACAAAGGCACTATAGAATCAGTTATTTTTATGGTTAACTACAGTAATCTTATCCACCATGTATTGGTTACACTTTGAATTTTAAGGACACTTAACTCTGATAGGCTGATTTAATTTCTTACTATTTAAAGAACAGTTAGCTGTAGTTGTAATAAATCTTGTTTCCTCTGTTAGATTGTGGGCTTAAGAACAGCGATCTTGTTGTTTTGTTTTTTAATCTTTAATCTTTGATCTGCATTAAAATGGAGCTCAAATTTGTTGAACAAATGAAACCATTTCTCTCTATAGCCAAAAAAAGTACATGCAACTTGAAAATCTTAAAATTGGCAATATTATGAAAAGCCACAAAATAGATTTAATCTTAATTTGTAGAGAATAAAGCCAATTTTCACTTTATTGTAGGTAGCAGCTTAAGGGCTAGATCCAGCCTTCAGTTTTATTTGTTCCAATGTTTTAAATATTAGAAAACTCCACATAAAAACTGGATTTCAGTCTCCTTTTGAAAAATCAGATTAGCAACACTGAACTCAAATTTCCCTGTGATAACAAGACAACTGGAGTTGAGGATCAGCTTTCTCTTTCAGAAAATGCTTGCATACCCCATTCCCTATTACTTCAGTTACCCCGGCCTATTTCATACTTTAATGTTACTATCTGGTTCTTGTACAATACCTGCATTTGCATTTCTTTGGATTACAGAAAATGACAGTAAAGCATGACAAGTGCTATGTGTGGGGAAGCGTAGAGTATGGGGGAGTAGAAGGTGGGAGTGTGATAAAAGTAAACATTACTATTCTTTTCAATTACATTTGCAATACAAGGATAATTACTCCAGGTATATTATAAGTTAAATAGGATCATGTCAGATAAATTGGAAATGCAATGGAAACTGGATCACAACTTTCCATAGAAACATAGGTAAAAATTAATTTACAAATATATCTTAAAAATAAATTTGTAAATTGGACACTATGGTTGTTTTGAAGAGGTTAAAAAATTAAGACTAAGAGTGCCATACAGAACATTATAAATCAACTATAAGAAAAAAAGAGAGAGAAAAAAAAGACTAAATGCTAGAGGGCGAGAATTGTACACATGTAGCTTTCTGAGAACCCAAAATAATACTTAAGTTTACAGGTTACTTTATGACTGTAATTTACAACAGGTACACAGAAACCACTGTTCTAAATCCTTACATTTTAGGGAACTTCCCTGGTGGTCCAGTGGTAAAGAACCTGCCTTACAATGCAGGGGCGCAGGTTCCTGTCTTCTTCTTGAACTAAGATCCCACATGCTGCAGGGAAACTAAGCCCACACATCACAACTACTGAGCTCATGCGCCTCAACTAGAGAGCCCATGTGCCACAACTAGAGAGCCCATGTGCCACAACTACAGAGCCCACGTGCCACAACTAGAGAAGAGGAACCCCACACACCACAACTAGAGAGAAGCCCACGTACCACAACTAGAGAGAAGCCCACGCACCACAACTAAGACCTGACACAGCCAAAAATAAATAAATAAATCCTTACATTTTATTTAAATGTGCTATGCATACACACATACATGTGCACACAGGAAATAAATAGAAAAAAATTATAAAACAAAACCAGACAGATATGAAACAAGAACAGGAAGACAGGAAAAGCTCAATTAGAAAAATATAGTCATTGAAATAAAGACACTAAATAACTGGAATAATCTCTATAAATGGGTACCTTTGAAGGAAAAACTAGTATATTATAAGACAGTATTGATGCTCTTCCCCTTAGATCACCACAAGGTCTGCACCCTCATTTCCTTCATATCTTTATTTCATGGTCACCTTCTCAGTGAGGCCTTCCTCATCTATCATATTTAAAATTGCAAACCATTCCCCATGCTTTCTTGCTTTCCTATCTACTTTTTTCCAAAAACGCTCATCACTATCCAACATACAAAATTATTTTACTTACCATACTTAATGAAATCTAAAACAAAATCAGTTTTAGGATGTAAAACTTAGTTTATGTACCACTAAGGCAAGAAAAGTCCTGTAATCTAAACTAGAACACCAATGACTGTACCTTTCCACATTTTAGCATCTCTGAGATCAGGATGTATCTCTTCAAATATGTTACTGATATTGCCTGCCTGCCTCTCCAGCTAGAAGCCCATTAGGATATTTCTACCCATTTGTTCAATGAGGTTTTTAAACACTGCTTGGCACTCATAGTAAGTGCCCAATAAATGTGATTTTAATAGTTGAAAGAATGACTGATTGAATTAATAAAAGCACAAGAGTTCTGAGAAGCAAAAATAACATTAAGTTTACACCTAGAAATATAAGAATAAAACTGCAAAACATCAAGGATAAAGAGAAAAGCATAAACATTACCAGAAGACCCTAACTACTCACAAAGGAACGATAATCAAATTGACTGCAGACTCCACATCAGCAACAATAGATGCCAGAAGACAATGCAGTATTATTTTCAAAATGCTAAGAGAAAATAACTATCAAATTAGAATTCTGTATCTTGCCAAATCATCTACTTGGGAATAAGCAAGAAAAAAACCCCATTTCAAACAAAGGCTAAGAAAGTATTACCCAGAGGTCCTGGTTGAAAGAGAAAGTAAAAGTATGTACTAAGTAAAAGTATATACTTAGCCAGAAAAAAAAAGATCCCAGAGGGAGGAAATAGGTTGCAGGCAACAATACTGAGCAAAGAAATTAGTAAAATATATTGATAATCCAACCAACTCCTGGCTGAACAGTAAGTGTATATGTGTGCTATATTTTTGGAATTTAAAAAAGCTGAATAGAAAACAGATATGTGAGTTACTGGATGCCTGTCAAGCCTATAGTAAGGTAAACAATTCATTTCAATTAATTTGGAGTCTTTATATATTTGATTCCACAATATCAGTTTTAAACATTTTCCTAAGTTTTTCATTACCCACAAAATACAGCAAAATATCTCCTCCTCCCAAATCTACAATTACTATCTATGGTGTTATGAAGAAGTACCTGCAAAGAGCTTGGGTCATACTTGCATCTTTTACATTTGGATCTGTAGTAAGGCTCCTGATGAGAACTGTTATCATCTGAAGAGGAATGTGCTGCACAAGGCTTGCCAATGCCACAGAAGGTTCAAACGATGCATCTATTTTTTAATTGAAAAGAAAAAGGAACGTGGCAAGAAGGTTCAAGGGAAGTATTCAGAGAGAACAACAATTTACCACCCCTCCACCAAGCAGTTGTTACACTCCATCTCATGGGTAGACTCTAACATACAAGGAATGTTAAACTGCAGAAACGAGAGATTAAGAGTAGTAGTTCGACAGTACTGCAACATAAAAACTATTCTTCACTATGGCCATATTTAGTCCGTAATTACTTTATTTTCTTGCATTCTTTAATATTGTTATTGTCGTGTTAAAATATTCATTTGTAAAGCAGTAGTCAGAAAAGACATGCATGGTATCATAATTCCCATTTTAGATCCTCCAAAGTAACTTACCCCTATTAATTATAGTAGTCATCACATTGTTCTAAGGAAAATTTTTAAAATCACTTAAAGAAGTAGAAACTAAGATAAATTTGGGGGGGACTTTGCTTAAACTACATGAAAATTAAGCAAATCCAAGATGAGCAGCTTTACTACTACAGTTGAAAAAGTTCTGGGGAAATCGAACTGTTATAGCAACACAGGCAATACATGAAAAATTACAATTAAAAAATAAACCAAAACTCAGATAATGCAAATATATAGTTGGTAATTCTTTCATAAATGTACTTATTTCATCAGGAAAGCATGGAGCCTGTTAAAACTCTACTCTTATTTCTTATTCTCAACATAAAAGGAGGATACCTCCTTCACAAGTTCAATTTCGAACAGCCAGAGAACGATTGTACCAAGCAGAGCGGGAGTGAACACAGTTTTGGATCTATTGTTTCACAACTTACAGAGCTGGAAGCTCCATGTCCGAACAAGGAATGCAAACATACAGGTAAAATTCCCGAGTGAGAAAGCATTTTCCTGCTAAGTATCACCTGATCCCTCCCGGATTTCTAAGGACACGATCCGTGGGCTATTGACACCTGGAGCGCAAAAACACCTATTTAAGTCTTCATACTCTTTCCCTTCACTCGTCCACCTGTATCTACTCTCACAAACTACTGCAAACATAAAATGTCAATATTCAACAACGACACAGTTAACTAGGATAATCTAATAATAAATGGCACACAGTCCATGAATTAAAAAATGGAAAAATTCAGAAACTAAGGAAAAACTCATGACGGCAAGATGACAGAATCACAGTACAATAATGATACAGTAAACATTATTATGCGGCCATTAGTCACTAATGAATAGAAGCTTTTACATAGTAGCTGTCATCTTCAAAGCATTCCATAACTTGAGCAGAAGCTGGGTAGTTAAGCAACTTGTTTGCTGCCAAAGGTCTTAGACCTCGACGTTCTCAGCCTCTAAACTGGAAACACTGCCCGTTTTTTAATGTCCAAAGTGACAGCCTGAATAGGGCAGTGGATAAGAATTTGGATGAAGGTGTTAAGATGTCCTCTCCCATTAACATGTTTTCAGAGCAGGGAAACAAACACGGTGTGTACGTAAGAGACACACACTAAATTTCCAAGAGAGATTTTCTCGGAATGTAATGACCCTTACCTGTGGAAGAAATGCTTGCAAAAACTTCTTGCAGGGAAGGCAGCAAGGTGGAGGGCTCGGCCTTCCAGATGTTCTGGAGCAAGTTACTCACTTTTGTCACCTGTGAGACATATTCCCGCAGCTCTTTCTCCTGGGTGGACACGCACTGGAAGTGGCCTATCGTTCGAACCAGCTGTTGGCAGAAGGTGATGGACAATTTCCCCTTGGGGATGCACTGCACGAAGTCGGTCAGGAGGTCGCTCAGTCGGGCGCAAAGCTGCGGCTCCGGCCTCTCACACACCATCCGCAGCACCTCCACCTGCAGCAGGCTGAAGAGGTCCAGCACCGACGGGCAGCTCATGATCAGCTTCAAGCCGTTGTGAATGTAGTCCAGGATGGCTACGTCCTTCCTGTCCAGAGAGTGGTAGCCCTGTTGGAGGAGGCCCAGCACGAACGTCTTATTGAAGAAGGACTCGAACTCTGGCCGGTGGTAGCGCGCGTAGGCCTCCAGCACTTGATGGCCCACCTGCCGCTGAAAGGGGTCCTGGCCCTCCAGGATGAGTCGCGTCGTCAGGTCAAACATGGCCTCGCATTGCGCCTCGTCCAGCCAATGCTCCGCCGACTCCACCACCTTCCGCACGATCACCCGCTTGAGGGGCAGCGGGTGCGAAGAACTCACCAGGCCCTCCAGGATCTTGTCCATTGTCGCCACGCTTCAAGGCCCGGCCCAGTGAGGAAGGAGCGGGCGGCCACGGCCCCAGGGTGGGCCAGGAGAGCCCCGGGGCGGAGGTGAACTTGGAGCGCAGCAGCAGCAGCGGGACCGACCACCGCCACCGCTGCCTCAGTAGCCACATTTATCGGGCAGGGGGGCCCATCCAAGCCCGGGCGGGAGTTGGCAAGCCTGGGGCGCGTAAGAACCGGCACCGCCCGCGATGGGCCTAAGAAGCCAGAGGCCCGCACTCCGCCGCCGCCCCGGGCCCGCGGGGCCTCAGCATCAGCTCTGAGGGGCCAGCGGGGTCCCCTGGCGGCTACGGGTGCTCAGGGGCCGGGGCTGCGAGCCAGTGGATGAGGAAGCACGCCTCCGCGTTCTGCGGCAGTTGTGGGCGTCCGGGCTCCGGCAGGTCGTGGGATGAAAACCGCCCCGGGTTGAGTCAGGAGCCGCTGTCACGGACGGTGCCGGATCAGCCGGGGAGAAGAGGGGGTGGACACCCTTGACCCGGATTCAGAAGGTCCGGCAAACAGGAAGTGGAGGACGTTGGAACCTCCGGAAAGGCCCGCCCCTCCGCCCCTCCGCCCCGCCCCACTCCTTTCCTCCCTCCCCTCTCACCGTCCTCCGCCCACAATCGCCTCCTACCTCATGGGCCGCGCTGGTACCCCCTCGCTGACCCGCAGCTCAGCTGCTGCGCTGGCGCGGCTGCCTCTGGCTGAGTGGGGCGGCTACTGTAGTGTCACTGGGGATCGTGTGTAAGTCACAGGAGGCTTCCCGGGAGAAGCGGCCGGGAGCGGACGCGTTGGAGGTGACTACGACTCTACGAGTTCCACCTTCCTATCTCTATCCGTTCTGTCCGAGTCAGGTTACTTGTGAAAGGCCGAGAAAGTTTTATTTAGGTAAAATCTTGTGAATGGGAAAGTTTTGGAAACACGAGTAGAAGAGCATTTGGGGAGAAAGTAAGGAAAAGAACTCAAAATCCGGATTGAAGGGAAATCGTTTGAGGTCGTGGCTCATTCATCAAGAAATGAGCTAGGGTTCCTAAATGAGATTGCCTTTCTCTTGCGTGTGGTTATTAAAGTAAGGGCTGTACTGGTGGCCGTATGCGTTTAGAGACGATCCGTTATCTTTAGCAAATATCTTTTTCATGAGCTTTTGTGGCATGTCGAAAATTTATGTTGTCCGAAAAATGGGGGGAGAGTAAGGAAAATGACAGGTGAGAAAGAATGAAAGAGTACTTTGAAAATAAAAAAGGTGAAATTTTCACAGTATTTACGTGTAGGCTGACACTGAAGATGGCTTACAATAAAGAAGAATAGATGGAGTCATCACGCTTGTACTCTTTCAAGTTAAATTCCAAGGATTCACCATAAGAATTTAGGCTTTAATTGGAGACCTTTAAATTGGAAAATATTGCCTAATTATAGCTCCGTTAAGACTTGACTAATATGATTGTGAAATTAGACGTTAACGGCCTGTAATACAGACGAAGGTTTAAAACGGTTTAGTTGAAATGTCCAGTAGAAAAAGGAACAAAATTGTAAGTTGTTTACCTTGCTTTATAGTGTTTTGGTTTTTACCAATTTACAAAATGATTACACCAATATATTTAACACATCAGTAAGGATAATCGTGAAAAGAATGGCTGTTTAGACAAGGTAGGAGCTGGGTAGAGGAAACTTGAGACCGAGTTAGTTTGCAGGAAGAGATTGAAGATAAAAGAGATATGAAGTAATTGATGGATCTAAGACAGTCATGCTAGAACACAGGAATAGCTTTGGAACTTTTCCTTTTCCAATAGATGGAAGTAAAACTACAGAGAAAAGTTTGCCTTTACTGGGAATGGTGCCACGTTGGAAGACAAAAATAAGGTAGAAAGTAAAGCATTAAGAGGACTGAGTGGTAGGATTGTGGATTTGCTGATATCCTGTAACTTAAATGCTGAGATGTAAAATTAACAATACTTAATAACTATCTGTTACATCCTATGTTATGTGACAAGGGAATAACAGAGGAAAGAAAACAATATTTGTTATATTTGTTATATATATTAATATATAGTCTAAGCAAATATTTTTGTTATATATACTAAGCAAATATATTACACATTCACAACAAAAAAAGGAGGAAATACTTATAAGTCTGTAAATGGTCTTGTTATAGTTGGTATTTATAACAGCCTTTTCCCACTACTATTTCGTATTTCCTTTGCCTTCAGCAAGTACCTCAGCTGGTTGTAGTTCTTTGCTTGGTGGGGTGACCCAAACCTTCATTCCTGAACAATCTGGGCCATTACTAGTCCTACCTGGATTGGATTGTTGTAGATTTCCATTGATTTTAATCACAGAGCATAGTAATACTAAGAGATGCCCTAAGGGATCTCTTGTATTCCAGACAATGCATTCCTTATCTCCATTGTATTAATAGTAGAGTTGCTGTCCAATTTCCTCTTGATAGTGAGGATTAATCACCCCAGCCAGCACACTAATTCCCTTCTTTGCATGTTTTTTTAAAAAATAGATCTTTATTGGAGTATAATTGCTTCACAATACTGTGTTAGTTTCTGTTGCACAGCAAAGCAAATCAGCCATATGCATACACATGTCTCCATATCCCCTCCCTCTTGAGCCTCCCTCCCATCCTCCCTATCCCACCCCTCTAAGTCATCGCGAAGCACCAAGCCGATTTCCCTGTGCTATGCTGCTGCTTCTCATTCTGTAGTGTATATATGTTGATGCTACACTCACTTTGCCCCAGCTTCACCCTCCCACCCCATGTCCTCAAGTTCATTTTCTATGTTTACCTCTTTATTCCTGCCCTACAACTAGGTTCATCAGTACCGTTTTTTTTTTTTTTTTTTAGATTCCATATATATATGTGTTAGCATACAGTATTTTTCTCTTTTTGACTTACTTCATTCTGTATGACAGACTCTAGGTCCATTCAACTCACTACAAATAACTCAATTTCGTTTCTCTTTATGGCTGAGTAATATTCCATTGTATATATGTGCCACATCTTTATCCATTCATCTGTTGATGGACATTTAGGTTGGTTCCATGTCCTGGCTATTGTAAATAGTGCTGCAATGAACATTGTGGTACATGTCACTTTTTGAATTATGGTTTTCTCAGAGTATATGCCCAGGAGTGAACTATGGTAGTTCTATTTTTAGTTTTTTAAGGAACCTCCATACTGTTCTCCATAGTGGCTGTATCAATTTACATTCCCACCAGCAGTGCAAGAGGGTTCCCTTTTCTCCACACCCTCTCCAGCTATTGTTTGTAGATTTTTTGATGATGGCCATTCTGATGAGCCTGAGGTGATACCTCATTGTAGTTTTGAGTTGCATTTCTCTAATGATTAGTGATATTGAGCATCTTTTCATGTGCCTCTTGACCATCTGTATGTCTTCCTTGGTGAAATGTCTATTTAGGTCTTCCACCCTTTTTTTTTTTTTTAAACATCTTTATTGCGGTATAATTGCTTTACAATGGTGTGTTAGTTTCTGCTTTATAACAAAGTGAATCAGTTATACATATACATATGTTCCCATATCTCTTCCCTCTTGCGTCTCGCTCCCTCCCACCCTCCCTATCCCACCCCTCTAGGTGGTCACAAAGCACCGAGCTGATCTCCCTGTGCTATGTGGCTGCTTCCCACTAGCTATCTACCTTACGTTTGGTAGTGTATATATGTCCATGCCTCTCTCTCGCCCTGTCACAGCTCACCCTTCCCCCTCCCCATATCCTCAAGTCCGTTCTCCAGTAGGTCTGTGTCTTTATTCCTGTCTTACCCCTAGGTTCTTCATGACATTTTTTCTCTTAAATTCCATATATATGTGTTAGCATATGGTATTTGTCTTTTTCTTTCTGACTTACTTCACTCTGTATGACAGACTCTAGGTCTATCCACCTCATTACAAATAGCTCAATTTCGTTTCTTTTTATGGCTGAGTAATATTCCATTGTATATATGTGCCACATCTTCTTTATCCATTCATCCGATGATGGGCACTTAGGTTGTTTCCATCTCCGGGCTATTGTAAATAGAGCTGCAATGAACATTTTGGTACATGACTCTTTTTGAATTTTGGTTTTCTCAGGGTATATGCTCAGTAGTGAGATTGCTGGGTCATATGGTAGTTCTATTTGTAGTTTTTTAAGGAACCTCCATACTGTTCTCCATAGTGGCTGAACCAATTCACATTGCCACCAGCAGTGCAAGAGTGTTCCCTTTTCTCCACACCCTCTCCAGCATTTATTGTTTGTAGATTTTTTGATGATGGCCATTCTGACTGGTGTGAGATGATATCTGATTGTAGTTTTGATTTGCATTTCTCTAATGATTAATGATGTTGAGCATTCTTTCATGTGTTTGTTGGCAGTCTGTATATCTTCTTTGGAGAAATGTCTATTTAGGTCTTCTGCCCATTTTTGGATTGGGTTGTTTGTTTTTTGATGTTGAGCTGAATGAGCTGCTTGTAAATTTTGGAGATTAATCCTTTGTCAGTTGCTTCATTTGCAAATATTTTCTCCCATTCTGAGGGTTGTCTTTTGGTCTTGTTTATGGTTTCCTTTGCTGTGCAAAAGCTTTGGAGTTTCATTAGGTCCCATTTGTTTATTTTTGTTTTTATTTCCATTTCTCTAGGAGGTGGGTCAGAAAGGATCTTGCTGTGATTTATGTCATAGAGCGTTCTGCCTATGTTTTCCTCTGAGAGTTTGATAGTTTCTGTCCTTACATTTAGGTCTTTAATCCATTTTGAGTTTATTTTTGTGTATGGTGTTAGGGAGTGATCTAATCTCATACTTTTACATGTACCTGTCCAGTTTTCCCTGCACCACTTATTGAAGAGGCTGTTCTTTCTCCACTGTACATTCCTGCCACCTTTATCAAAGATAAGGTGTCCATATGTGTGCTTCCACCCATTTTTTAACTGGATTGTTTGTTTTTTTGATATTGAGCTCCATGAGCTGTTTGTATATTTTGGAGATTAATCCTTTGTCTGTTGTTTCATTTGCAAATATTTTTCCCATTCTGAGGGTTGTCTTTTTGTCTTATTTATGGTTTCCTTTGTTGTGCAAAAGCTTTTAAGTTTCATTAGGTCCCATTTGTTTAGTTTTATTTCTATTTCCATTACTCTAGGAGGTGGGTCAAAAAAGATCTTGCTGTGGTTTATGTCAAAGAGTGTTTGTCCTATGTTTTCCTCTAAGAGTTTAATAGTGTCTGGTCTTACATTTAAGTCTTTAATGATTTGGAGTTTATTTTTGTGTATGGTGTTAGGTAGTGTCCTAATTTCATTCTGTTACATGTAGCGGTCCAGTTTTCCCAGCACCACTTGTTGAAGAGGCTGTCTTTTCTCCATTGTATGTTCTTGCCTCCTTTGTCATAAATTAAGTGCCCATATGTGTGTGGGTTTATCTCTGGGCATTCTGTCTTGTACCATTGATCTATATTTCTGGTTTTGTTTCAGTACCATACTGTCTTGATTACTGTAGCTTTGTGTATAGTTTGAAGTCA